GGCTCACCCTGGCCACCAAATGCCTGCAGCCTCTTCACCACGGGTCCGGTCTCAGGACAGCACGTGTCCAGCAGAGGATATTCATGGGGGAGGCTAACAAACCGTCTCATTTTCTGCAGTGCGAAAGGCAGAAGGCATGTGGTCATGGCTGTGTGCTGGGCAGACCCGCGCCAGTGCCTGGCTGATGGGGCTCCGGCTTCATGAGGGGGACCCACTTTCAGCCACAAGTCCGTAGAGAAAGTCTGATCCTATATGGCTGATTTGATTAACACTTTAAAATCACCTGAGGTTTTGTAGAAAACCCTTTGCGGTCAATATTAGGGGAAAATTGTTTAAAGGAACCACCTTAGTAATTTACGCCGTAGGTTCCCAGACCCGCTGTCCACTTGAATCACTTGAGGAGCCCCTCTTTAATGGGCTCTCGGGCCCCATTCCAGACCTGGGTCAGGCCCTCCCAGGGCGGGGCCTGAGAACCTGAAGGGTGAGAGCTGCCGGGTGAGTCTGAGGATAAGCAAAAATCTTTCCTGTTTTTTTACATTACATTAAGGACTTTTTTTTTTTTTACTGGCCTCGGGTCCCTGTGGTTAATGGGATCATTGAAAGGGGCATGTGTGTCACTAAACAGGGGTGTTTCTTTTCCTTTTTTGTTTCTATGTTCTTTGAAGATAGCCACAAACATGATTTAATTTAGAAATGAGTCTCAGAAAAATGAAATCCCTGTTTCCAGTGTAGTCCTCAGCCGTTTACGACCCAGGCAACCCCAGCCTCTCAGAGGCCGAGGTCTGCAGACGCCCCGACTGCCGGGGTGACAGCTCTGGGCGCCGAGAGACTGCGGAGCCCCAAAGTGTCTGTCTGTCTGTGACCCGAAACAGCAGCAGAGAAACATTTTCAGGGGCTCAAGCAAAAATCATTTCAGGAAGTAATAACTGTGTTTTAAACGCTGTCGGAGGGCAGACTGATGAATGTTTCAAAGATCAGTTCAGTGCCTCAACCTCCGAGTAAACCCCGGGCGTAGCACAGCTGTCGGCCGCTGCAGACTGGACCGCTCACACCCCAGTCTCACACCAGACCCGGTGCGGGATTCCGGGACTGACTCTTACTTCTTGGAAGAGGAAAAACAATCACATGCAACTGGCTACGGAGCCAAGGGGAGCATGAATCTGAGGCACTAGGACCTCATATGATTTAAATGACCTAATTTAAAATCTGTCATTTCCGCCTTTCTGTTTTGTGAGTGAAAAACGTGGGGGGAAGAATTATTTTCTCCTCCCAACTAGGAAGAAGAAAGTAAATATTTAAGGAAGTACTAGAAAAAATATCTTATAATACTTTGCAGATCACAGAGCACTTCACAGTCCTAAAACGCATCCTTCCAGCACTTACCACCAATCTGCGACGCCAAGACGGTGCCCGAGGAAGTCCCGGCAGCGGCCAGGCAGCTGCCCAGATGACAGCCGTTTGGAGAATCGCTAGAGAAATACTTACAAAGACCTGTGGGAGCTTTTGGTTAATGATTTTAGGAAGTGGTTGGGACATAGTACAACTTCCTTGTAGCCTAAACAGTTTCCCTGCTCTTCTAAAATATTTTGGTTTTGAGGAAAATATAAATTATGTATCTACTTCTCTCACTAGAAAAAAAATCAAAGATGGTTCAAAACTGCAACATTTCATTCTCTAGGGTAAGTAAAAGACTTTACGGAGTCGAAGCATGTTACTTAAAAATACAAATGTAAAACCAACACATTTAAAAGACAGTATAGAGTCAAAGTATACTATTCAAAAGTAAAAATATAAAATTAGCACATTAAAAAAATTATTTATCTCAGCGAGGGAGCCCAAACATGGTAAAGCTGGCTCCAAGAACAAAGAACTAGCGTTAAAAGGAATGTTAGAATAAGATTGCTAAGTTAGATAGACACCTGGATAGTAGCCTACAGGGCAATAAAACCATAACTTCTGAAGTTTTCTTGTCTACCAGAGAGAGACCTACAAATTAATGTGTAACTTTATAATGTCTATATTTTAATCAAACAGTAGACAGCAAGTTTAAACACAGACACATTCTCCTCATGAATTTAGCCCTGCCCATTATAGAAAGCTTAGCATGACTTTGTCAGGACATGTACCTCCCACCCTCCACCCTATTTCTAAGTTTTGGATAATGTCTCTCAATAAGAGTGAAGTGGTTAAGATCAGGGATACACAGCTTGGGTCCTTAGCTCGGGTATACTGGCTACATCAGAGTCCTTGAATGACGCGCTGACGGGGGAGGAACTGACTAGTCTTGGGAGGCTTCAGAGAAGGGGACATGAGAGCCACATCTCCACACATAAATTGGCGTTTGAAGATGAGAAGTAACTAGAGAAATTTCGTTAGAGTCCCTCAGGCTCTACTCATTAAGAGAAATTCATATTCAATTTCCCTTTAGCCTTTTTAGGTGTTACTTTTATCAAGTTTGGTTTTGAGGTTTTCCTGCTAATTGCAAGCAAATAATGGCAACCTGCAGGTAAAGATTACCAAAGAGAAAGGAGAGAGAGAGAGAGAGAGAAGTCTACAAAGAAGACACAGACATTTAAGGAACCTCATCAACAGCTCATGTTCTCAGAATGGAGCAACAGCCTCTAGAGAAGTAATTAATGCTTTTAATATTGACCTTTGGCATCAAGAGGTTAATTTTTTTTTATACCTTCTAAGAAGGTAAGGGTATATGTAATATGTTTGAAAATGATTTTCACCCTAATGATTAAAATAATTTTGGTGATTAAAGGGATACATTATGCATTTCCCTGATGGTTGTGAAAACAGCATGTTACTTTGCAAGGAACTTTGCATGTACCGTTTGCAAACGTGCTTTTTATTCTTCATTGGACCAGAATAATTTGAATAGGAACACAAAACTATACTGCACATCACCAGTTCTGCTGAACAGATAACTATTGGTCCGAAGTGGAAAGCAGATCGGTGCGAAGTATGACAGAATCGGACGCCCATTAAACTCGAAGACGTTTTAGTCCCTGAACCCGAAGCAGCAGCCCCGTCCCCGCGCGGACAGCTCAGGAGCCTCCGATTGGCGGGATACCAGGACTTTTGTCTCTTTTATCAACACGGCCATTATCTAAGCTACAATTAGAGGAACAAACAGTTCTACTAGTAATGTCATGCAATAATAGGGCTACATGGCAGTACTGAACTGATGGGTTTTCTTCCTTTAAAAAAATTATAGGTTATGACATAACTAGAAACCAGACTGTTACACAGAAGTGTCTTCTTTCAACCACATTTGAAAATTCTAGTGCAAACAAAGATGTCTTCTCCAGGCACCTAACCAAGTCGCCCATGATCAAAACTCCAAAGCAAAAAAAATGACAACAGCAAAATAAACATACATTGAAAATCCATAAAGTAAATCTGTAAAATAAAATCCATAACTAAACTGCTTTTTTAGTAAAACACCTAAAAGAATTATTTTAATGCCATATAATAAACTATCTATTGTGCCATTTTAATTCTTTCCTTAAAAAAGAAAACCAGGAATGGGAGTGCCTACGCTTTTCATTGGGTTAATTCTCCAAAGATCACAGTTCTGATAATACATTGTATCAAAATCTAAATTAATAAATGCTTATTTGGACACTTAAATTAACAGCAGGTTGTGAATACCTTAGGGTAGGTTAATCAAATTTGTTCTTCACCTGCCAGCAAATTCTTATACTTTGGTATGTAATTTAGAGAAAATGCAAAATACACTGGGGAAAGCATTTGTAATCAAAATACTCAGAATCAGAAACTCCTGTGCATATTTGTAAATCAGTTTTTAGAAGTTAAATTAAAACTTATTAAGACTTCAAGCAAGGTTTTATAATCTTTAAATGTGGTGATAGTATAATATGAGCATAGAAATTTCTCTGTCATCTATAAACCCAAAAAAGAGACTAGTAACCTTTTAATAAATAGCTACTAACAGGGTAAAATTTGACAAATTTAGTCATTCCCAGAAGAAGTACTTGGCTGGGTAAACATGAGCTCGATGCTATATGTGGCAAAGAGTGGATATATTTTCAGGTAGTTTTGATATGGCTAATATAAACAAATACAAAGCTTTCTATCAAAATGTTCTTTGTATAGACATAAATTATTGGTTTTAAGTTGGAGAAACTTACTACATGATTTCTGAAAATGTACCATATTTGAAATGAATATGTATTGTCTTCATGTATAAAATGCCTCACTAAAGAGTTGACATCACTTTATAATCATTTGCAAAGGTGAATAAAGGTAGATACTGCATTTAATGATCATTCAAAAATTTATAAGGAAAATTAATATTTGTGCTAAGTATTATTATTATTTTCTTAAGGGGAAGTCATTGTGAGTTCTTCGTTTTTTTTTTAACAGCTATATATATTTTTAACAGCTATATAAGTTTTTTGTCCAATCCATTAAAACTAAATCATCTCCTTTAAGTACTTATCTAGAAATTTCATCTTCTAAGTACAACAGTGTTAAAGAATCAGAGAATTCAAGGTTAGAAGAATCTTTAGAGTATACCCAGTGTAGAGGATCTCAAACTTTAGTTTGTATCAGAAGACTCTATTTTTCTTCCCAAAGTGCAGATGGCCAGGCCCCTCCCCACTCATCTGATTCAGGAGGCCTGGGGCGGGGCCTGAATAACCAGAGCACCTCTGCTCCACCCCCACGTGGCTCTCACGTGGGAGTCTAGGGATCCCTGGAAGGAGTGACACCGTGGCAGCCCACACCCCCTCCTTCCGAAGCCAGAAATCCTCCTGCCACCCTGACATACTATTGAGGCCATTTCTGCCTCAAACTACTCCCTCGCCACCTCCTACAGGTATTTCCGCCTCCTGGGCCGACTCCTTACACATCCAAGGAAGCTTCTGATAGAAACCTGTGCATTCCAAACATGAAGCCGCTCAACACGGGCTCACACACACACATCACCGCGAGGACACACCGAGGAATTAGATGCACAAAGAACTGACCTGTTTCTTCTGGTATTTGTTTATCAGTTTCAAAAATAAGGCGTAACATCCGGAATAGTTGGCCAAGGCTACACAGCAGTCATGGTAAGAAGTAAGTTTGCTGCAGAAATGCCAAATGGGAAAATGAAAATAAAATTTGTTTTTTTATGAAGTTCAAATACACGTTGGTTTACTTTAAATATGGACCTTCAAAGCTTTGCCCAGAGGAACCTAGAAATAGTCCATCCACCAGTCCAGAGAGGCCACAGGGAACCTTGCTGTCTGCTCTAGACTCGGGGGCCTGGAGTAGAGGGGAAACTTTGAAAGAGAGAAACCTGAAGCCTCTAACACACGTACATGGTGTGCATTTACACTGCTCTTGTGGTTCAGAAAACACAAGCTAGGAATTTACATGAAATCTGGTGGATGCCAACCAGTGAATCAGGACCTTGTCAGAAGCAAATGTTAAATTGCTGTGCATATTAGGCTGGTAGTGGTATAGTAATATTAGGCAAAATAGACCTTAAGGCAAAAAGCCTTGAAAATAGCCTCAAAATGTCCTAAGCATGCAAGCAAGCAAACAAAACCCACAAGGCAGTATTGACAAACCTACATCAAATTTGAAGATGTTCATACGTCTCTCATTAAGTGATACATCAATAGGTAAAACATCATTACTATTTTAAAAGCATGATCACAACCAGCCCATTAACAAGTCTCCGCAAATTTTTAGAGAACTGGTGTCTCACAGATCACATTCTCTAGTCAAAGAACAATTCAATTAGAAATCAATTTAAAAAATTCATTTTTTGGAAATATACTTTTAGAAATTTAAAAACACATAAATTATGGGTCAAAGAAACATAAAAAAAACTTAGATCTGAATAACAACAGTATTACAAGTCAAAATTTCTGTGATGCAGCTAAAGCAGTATTTAGAGGAAAATTAATATCCTTAAGAATGCTGGAAAGAAGGAAATTGAATTTCTAGCTAAAACATAAGACAAATACAATATATCTAAAGAGAGTAGAAGAAAGGGATTCATAAGGATTAGAACTGAAGGAATAAAATATAAAACAAACATTCTATAGAGTGGATCAATATATCTAGTGGTTATTTCCAAAAACTAATAAAATTGGCAAACTTTTGGCAAGTGTGATTGAGAAAAAAAGAAACATCACAAACGATCAAAATAAGGAATGAAAGTCAGTATCAACGATGAAGAGGCAGTGCAACATAGTGGCTCGATGTAAGAACATTCTAGAGCCCGCCAGCCTACCGGGTTTGAACCGCGGCTATATGACACCAGGAAAGCCAATCAACCTCTCTATGCCTCAGTTTCCTCATATGCAAAATGAAGATAATAATAATAGTACCTACCTTTTAAAGTTGTTATAAGGAACAAATGAATTAGAATTTGGAAAGTGCTTAGAACATCACCTGGCATGTAGTAGACATTATATTGGTTAAATAAATGAAATAAAAGGAGACATAACTACTAGAGATGCAACGGAGATTAAAAGGATAATAAAAGAATATTTGGAACAATTTTAAATTATTTTAAAACTTAGATAAAATAGACACATTCCTATAAAAATATAACTTTTTGAATCTGACTAGAATAGAAATAGGAAATATGAGAAGATATATAGCCATTAAAGAAAATGAATCTGTCTGTAGTCAACAAATTCACACACATATGGGAGCACACACATGCACACACCAGGATAAAATAGCTATTCAAGCAAGTTCTACACACTTTTTAAGAAACAGATGTTTTTCACAAATTCTTCTAGAAAAGAGAAAAGTCAAAATTCTTCTCAATTCATTTTATGATGCTGGCATAAACTTGACACTAAAACCAGACAAGGACAATATGGGAAAGAAAAGTACAGGTCAGTCTAACTCATGGGACCATATGAAACATCCTAACAAAATATTAGTTAAGTAAGCCTAGATATAATGGTTTAACATGAAAATATCTATTAAAAAAGGAAAATCCACATAATCAGAATACATTCAGGGCAAGCATTGAGAAAATTTAATATCCATTAGTTAGAGAAAATTCTTCTTTAACCTTCTAAAGTACAGCTAAAAAAAACCCTACAACAAATACTATTTTCACCTGGTAAAACCAGAAATATTTCCTTTAAAGCCAGGAGAAATGCCACAGGCCCAATCCTCTTATACCTTTGAATAGGATGCCCTGAGCAGTGTGATAGAAAGGGGTGGGGACAGCAGGGATAGTAGTAATAACTGCATAAAAACAAAATTATTCTTATTTGCAGACAATTTGCACAGAAAGTCCAAGAGACTCTATAGACTAACACTTAAACCTAATGCTCATCAGGACTCCTGGACACAAGATCAATAAGCGGACATCAATACTCTTTATATACACCGGCGACAACCTGTTAGAAAACACACTTTTCTGAAGACGGCATTCATAATTGCAGTAAAAGCTATGAAGAAATAAATCTAACAAGAGATGCGCAAAATCTTTTTGGAGAAGATTATAAAAGTTTTTGAAAGAAGAGAACATCATAAAAGTTTATGGGAGGAAGTCTCAATATCATAAGGATGTCAGTTCTCCCCACCTCCGTCCCAGTTACTCTACATGCTCAGGGCAGTTGCACGGAGAACCCTCACGTGCCTGTCATGGGCTTCAGCTGATTCCCCAAGTTGTCACCAGCTTGCTTTGAGGCAACTGGGTGCGGATGATCATCACTTCCGGGGTGAAGTGTCAGCACATCCGGCGAATGTGTGAGCCGAAGTTCAGTCCAGACACTAAAATAAAACCCCCTTCTATTGCTAACAAGTCAGGTGAGACTCCTAAGGGAAGATCCCCTTTTTTTCGTTACAAAGCTCGAGCGTGTGCCCAGGTGCACCAGAGGTGCACGCGTTTGGGGGTAGAGTTCTTTATCTCCACTAAGCCAAGAGGAATTCTCAACTGTTCGGTGAAAACACTAGGATAACTCAACAGCTCACCAAAGAACTAAAGTGACTTACAAATGATGAATTTAGAATCACGTTAGAAATAAACAGGAAATAGAGTCATTGGTTTAAATCATTCATTTTAAACTTGGGCTGCTAGACATTCCTTTCCTGGTAGGTGAATTAAGGAGCAAAAAACAGGATGAAAATAACCTGAAACCTAAGCACTGGCATTTCTGTAAGGCTGCCCAGTCTCCTTATTCTACCTACCTGAGTATTCTGGCAATATTGGTGCAGACGTCCATGTCACCCATGCACTGTCCCATCGCCGTGCAGAGCTCGGGAAGGGCGCTGATGCTCAGCAATGTGCTTCTTGCCTGGGGTGAATCAACCAGGTTTCTCAGTGCAGACGTCATCTAGGATGCAAACATGTTGGTGCCGTTTTTTTTTTAAACTGGAAAACAGAGCGACGCTCATCAGATCAGCACAGAGCAACGCATCCCGTAAATCTCGATACGTCAGTGGGGAAGCCAAGCCCCTGGGACGCATCTCCACCAGAGAACACAGGTGTAGGCACAGGCAGCGTGGGATGGAAACAAAGAAATGAATGCAAAGAAAGCCGACTTTGGTTCAAATGAAGAATGGAATATTCGTGTTAATAAGCAACTTGTACACCAAGACCCCAGGTTAAGCATATTATCATCTGGATTTGTTTGCAGTACTACACGACTTTCGGGGGACCCTTGCAACATGCGTCACTGGCTCCACGGATTAGAGTGTCACAGTGGCATCACACAGTGCCGTGGTCAGAGGACATGAAAGGCCGGTAGGTTCTCTCAGGAGGCAATTACTGATTTCTTGTAAATTCCTCTTAATTTGTAAAAATTGCTCAAGAAAGCTATACTTTAGTCCCTGTCCAAAAGCAGAGAAGAGAACAAGCTAGTAAACCCATAAAACTAATATTGCTGTCATCTAATAATTTAACAGGCAGTGTGACTTGCCTTGTGGGGCAGCAGAGGCGGGCTGCTGGTTAAGATCAGCTCAGGAGCTCGATGTCCGAGCCAGGCCCGGCGCCCCCACTCCCGGGCTTCGGTCCGTGCCCGGGGCACATCTTCTTCGTCAGCAGAGGAGGGGTGGTAAGTGCCCGCAGTCGGGGAGATTCAATGAGACAAGGTGTGTGGATGGCACACCAGTGCCGACTACCTCCCAGGGGATCAGAAATCACGGGTCTCACCCCCAACTTTGTGGTAGGACTTCACTCCCAAAACATGGAAGAGAGACTACTGGTCGTACAGCCAAATGATGGGGATGCAAGCCCCACGTCTCTCCCTGGTGGCATGGCGGAGGGAGGCCCTCGCTCATGTCCCCACCCTGACGTCCCCGCGTCCTTTCACAGGACAAGGCGGCTACACCCCAGGCGGCTGTGCCAAGTGGAAAACGCGTAACAAGGTCTCTGGGTACCATGAAGCGTTACGTGACTGTAAAGCATCACAGCCACGGTTAATAAGCTTTCAAGACAGTCATTAAAGTGACACATATCTTTGATCAATTTTCCTTTGCAACAATAGCAACAAAAAGATTTTGTTGAAAAATAACTGCCTTGAAAGCAGAGAAAATAAAAACAATGCTTCAAATAAACGTGTACGAGTCTCCCGGAGTCAATTCAGTTACACAGCCATTTGGTAAACGCTTCCCTGGACGCTTGTCTGCAAAACCCCGGCGGGGGGCCCACAGCGCAGGCTGCAGCTCGGGGCGTCCTCCGGGGACACCAGTCCCGCCGGGCTTCCCAGGCCCGCCCTGCGCAGGACGGCAGGGTCTGGCCACCTGCCCTGCTGACCCCAGGCGGCTCTTTTGTCCGGACCCCGTGGCCGCCAGGCCGCCCGCTCTGACCCCTTCAGGGGCCGCTGCCCCGGCCCGGCCCCGAGCTCGTCTGGGCGCCTCCACCCGAGACCGTCTTGCTCCCCACGTGGAGCTGCCGGCTCGGGATGCTGTCCGCAGAGGGACCGCAGTTTTCTTAGTGGCTTTTGTTTTCTTGTTCAACTAGTTTTCCTTCCTTTTTCTCGCCTCACTAGAGGAGGTTAAGACCGTGCAGGCTCCTGTCACTCCCCAAATGCAACTTTCATAAACGGCCCAAAGCAGGAGTGGAAGCACCCTTTGAACTGTGAGGCACCATCTGGTCTTGGATGCCCATCTGGGCACCGCACACGTCACATCGTGTGACACGCATGCAGTCGTGTGAGACACGAGTCATCGAATATCGTCGTCACGTCAGGCAGCCATGGAGCTGGAAGGACATTCGTGAGACACGCCGTGGGCTAGAGAAGCATGTGGTGACGCCCCAGTATCCAACACGGCCACCCCACAGGGGCCCAGAGGCGCCCCAGGCCGCGAGTGGACTCCTGCCCCCCTCGCCGTAAGGGGTGCCCCGCCGGCTGTCCCTGTGCAGTGTCCACGGTCACAGGGCACCCTGCGCTGACCCACCGGCCCCGCAGAGTCGGTCGCACCCCGCACGGCCCCGCTCGCCAGGCGGTGCTGGCTTGTTCGTCTCCCCGAAGCCTCCGCAGGGTGAGGGCCTTGCTCTTCGCAGGGCTCCCGGGGCCGGGCACACGGCGGGTCCTCGATTAGCATGATGAATTCCTACAAGGAAACACCCGTGCACTGCGGAAAATAGAAAGGTTAGGGAATCAGAAAGCCACGGATTAGTAGATGGCATCCCCGAGGTACATGGATTTTAGGGTGATTGTGAAGGAGTAGAGAAATGAAAAGTGACAGAGGAGTGAAATCCGACCTCCTGATGGGGACCTTCTGCCCCCTCCCTGTGCCACCCCGTTCCCAGTGGCGGCCCCTGCCCTTCCACACCCGACCGGTGCCCCGTCACATCTCTCTGCGCCCAGGGTGGGCTCACCTCACCTCTGCGAAGCTGTTCGGCAGCTCCGGGTGAACAGGCCGTCCTGTCCCCGCGGTGCCACCCCCACCCCCCAGCACCAGGGCACCTGTTGCATGCACCTGCGCCCACTGTGAGCTGCCCCGGGGCCCCCCTCCTCCTGCTCAGGGGACAAAAGGGCCACGGACGGCCGCTGGCTGAAGCCCAGAGGGAGACGGGGGCAGAAGGAGGGCGGGAGGGCAGAGGCGGTGCCAGGCCAAGGGGGCAGAGGAGGCCTTCCCCTTTAAGCAGCCTCTGCCAAGGAGGGGCTGGATCAGCGGCTGCAGGAGCCAGAGCTCCTGGCCCTGGGCGGAGGACCGGGCGGAGGTCAGGCAGGGGCGGCCAGCTCTCCCCAGGGGCTGGCTGCCTGCCACCAGACCCCGCACAGGCCAGGGCAGCCCTGCAGGCTGGGCACAGAGACAGGCGGCTTTGTCAGGGAAACAGGCAAAAAGGCCATGGGGAGGAGCGTGTAGCAGATACTGTGCAAGAGTAAAGGCGGATTCCAAGTCGGCCCCCTCCGCTGTCAACTGTGCTCTGTGCTGCCCCTTGTTTGCCACCCCCAGGAAGCCCACCCGGGGGCTGCCCCCAAGGCAGGAATTCGCCAAAGCCTATGCTTTCTGCTTGGAGAAATGGATTCGTTCCTGCCTAACTCTGCTCTAATTTCTATTGCTCCTGATTCCACTTAGTTATGTGCTCTCCTATTTTGCTGCCTATGATCTGTTAGGCCATCACAAATCCTTTAGGGCAGAGAGAGAAGTGTATGGGTAGGTGCAAACAGAAATGCTGCCGCTAAAGGGCTTTCTGGAGCAATTCCCAGCCTCCTAAATGTCGTCTCACCAAGAAACAGCAAACTGGAAAACGTGGGCTTCCATTCTTGGTCTCCCGTCTCCTCCTGGGCAGCCCCAGGGACACGGAGGCAACCAGCAGCAAGAGACAAAGGAGAACGTGGAATCGATTATGTACAAAGAGGATGAAAACTTAAAGCTCCTTGCTTCTTAGGCATCTGGGGCCAGAGGGGACCTAGATTCGGTAAACGTCAGGGAAGAAACAAGCCGGTGTGACTCTGGTGACTAATCTGCTGCTGAGAAACGACGGGGCCGCCCTATGCCACTTTGGTGTCCTCACTCTTTCTGAGGCAGCTCCTTCCATCTGTTCCCCTAAATTCTTTGATCATGAGAGGCCCTGAGCCCCAAACCCAGTCAGATCTCCAGGTAAAACGCTGGGTGGGTTTGGCAAAGCTGTCCGACCTTCATCAAATGGGCGGGGCCTCAGAGGTCTCACTGTGCAGTTAACCCGGGGAAACCCATTTTAAAGGGAAAAGTTATTAAGAAGTGATTAGATAATTTATAAAGGCTCAAACAGCATTTTAGTACAGCAAAGTTAGAATTCAATGCATTTGGCATCTGTTTTTTTCAAATCAGTTATAGGTACCTAATCATCAATTTTAAATTATGTTTTCAGTTATTAATTAATTGAAAAACCTTAGCAAACACAGACAGTTTTGTCTTAAATTATGAGGCCCTCCTGATTTACATCACTGGACTTAAGAAAGACAACACAGGCCGAGCAGCTGCGGCCCCATTCCCGGCAACCTCTGCTACAGCAGGGCGGGCACAGGGCAGGGAGGGCTGGGTGGGCCCCCACCAGCCTCCATCTCCGGCAGGGAAGGCCCCTCTCCCTTCCCTTTGCCGTCCTCTGCCAGCAGAGCCCTCGGCCCTGGGGAAGTGACCAGATTCTGCCCTAGCAGGCAGTCGGCCGTCTGAGCTGCCCCAGAACAGAGGGGCTTAGGGCTCACAGCCCAGCACAGCACTCCCGTTCAGGTGCATGGGGAATTCGGCTCTTTGGCTCAGGACCTTCACCGTCAATCACGACATGGTTTCTGGAGAAACATTTTCCCGACTGCGAAAACCAGCTTTCAAAGAAACCTTTGGAACATAACGCATTTGAAAAGTGCACCATACATAGTCCAAAACTTCCTACGCTTCCTCTCCCAAGTTAGCATCCAGAGTCACGTGTATTTGTTTTCACACATTGAATGCTATGATGTAAAGGGTCTGAGCAACGACTTCATGGTTTATAAAGCTGCCTCATGAGCTGATCGCCTTTGCTGGCTAAACCAACCCCGGGAGGCAGACAGGAAAGGGGTTACAAGCCCCCTTTTCAGAGGAGAAAACTGAAGCTCAGAAAGTCTGCCAGCTGCCAGGTATGTGGGCATCCTGGGCTCCAACTCCCTGTCTGTTGTCTCCCCCACCCCATTTGGCTGTCCCTAAAGCACCCACTTTATTTCTTAATCATCTGGAATATCCATAGCCAAATCCCTCGAGCGTTACCTCAACTTAACTGCCAACTGCAGAATGGTTCACTTCCTGCTGGTGAAGTGTGAGAACAATCCCGCCGCCAGGCCGCAAAGCGAGCCAGATGACTTAGGACCGGGGCTGCGCCGCCTTCCCGCCGCAGCAACGCCATCTCCCTCCGCTACACAAGCACAGCCAT